CAACAAAAGCCACTCTCCTCCAGGCCACTGCCACCTGTTGGGTTTTCACACATCGGGGGCCAGTGGTGGGGGGAGCTGTTGCCCTTTTCCCAGTGTCTGTGGTGTGCCCCCTTTGCCCCCCAGGGCCTGGGATTCTCTTTGCTGCCCGACGTGACAGGGCTCAGGAGCCCGAGGGGGTGGGGGGACAGCAGCTGGAAGGGGAATTGAGTGGGAAGGGGCCAGTGCCGGCAGGGGAGAGAGTTTGATGGATTACTCTGCAGCGGAGAGGTTTCTCCCTAATCCCTCTTTGTGTCCGGGCCTGCAGCCCCCTCACTCTCTCTGACAAGCTGCTAAGCAGAAGGCCTCCAGTCCCAGTGAAGAAAAGGCAGCCCAGCAGGGCAAACTCTAAATCCCTGGCCTCTGGGCCCTGAGAGGCAGGAGCTGAGAGCAGGCCTGGGGCTGGGTGGGGTCCCCTTCCCCACTGCCCCGCCCTTGTTCTGGGGATTTTTGTGGCAGTGCAGAGGCTGCCTTCTGAGTGTGTTCTCAGGTATCTCAGACCTGTGAGGTCTGAGCCTTGGGCCTTGGGAGTGGGCAAGACAGACCTTTACTTCCTTGGGAGTGTGTGAGCCCCAGAGGTCCAGCAGGTGGCCCCAGGGGCCTTTCTGGGCAGAGCTCAGGTAGGCCTCAGTCCTGAGGCCACTCCCCTCTCTGCTGACCAAGACAGCCTCTTCCCGGGCCGCCTCCTGTGGAAGTGCATGAGGCTAGAGCTCACGTGGGGAGTTCAGTCCTCCAGGCTTTGCTAGGTAAGGACACTGGTCCCCCAGGACTGAGGCTGGACTCTCCCCAGGAAGAGTTCAATTTGGAATGAGATTCTGGGGTGCTGTCTTGTAGCCAGTCCCTGTGGGTTGCCCCCCACCAGCATCCCTGGGCATGCTGTGGGCGCATGTTGGGGAGAGTGGCCTGGAGTGTCCCCACCCTCCTTTCTGCAGCTGAGTCATTATTCCTTGCGGTGAGCCTCTGTCCTCAGTTTCCTTCTCCAGGAGGGGAGGGGAGGGGTGGGGAGGTCAGGTGGGAGGGGCTGCCTGGCTGTGAAGAGCAGAGGAGCGTGCTGGGCTGAGAGGAGAGGAGCAGAGCGTGTGAGAAAGCAGCCGCCTTTGTGAGTGTGGAGGGGGACAGCGGGTCGCTCGCAGGCTGGGTCAGGGTGGGGGCTGCTGCGGCTGTTTGATGTGCCTGGGCGGGGTGTGGGGAGCTGGCCCACATAAAGAGGCCATAGAATTGCTGCCTGACACTGGCCGGCGGCGGGCTGCCCCCAGTCCAGCTCCCCCTGGCCTCTGTCTGTCAGCAGAGGGAGTCTGCTCCCCCCAGCTCCACCTCAGCCATGTGGGGTGGCAGGAGCCCCTTTGAAAGCCCTCAAAGGCCTCTTTATCCGTCTCTCTGACCCTCCCTTCCCGGAGGGAAGCTACCGGGAGTGGGCTCGGTGGCCTTTCCTTGCCTCCGCCACTCTGTCTTTTGAGTTTTGGAGAAAGTTCAGGCCAAGTTTGTTTCTGTTACTGTTTCTTTCCCCACACCCGCTGCCTGCTTGGAGCCTAACCTGGAATGGCAGGGAGCCAGCGGTGGGCACGCCAGCCTGGAGGGTTGGTGGGGTCCGCGCACCACCTTTGAGCCTCACAGAGTCCTCTGGATTGTCTTGGTGGGCGACTTAGGTCTTCCCTGGGTCTTATACCCGTTACCCCCACTCTCTTTGGATAAACACCTCCAAGGCCCCCTTTCGAGTGAGGGCAGCGTGCTCTGCAGCCTCGTATTGGGAGTGGGGTGGGTAGAGCGGAGGGTCGCTCCTTGCCTGGGCCCTTGTCCTCTGCAGCTTGGTTGTGTTCCCCTCGGGAGGAGAGGGGCCAAGGGCTTGGTCCGAGAGGGGCCGAGACGGCTCCAGAAATCTCCAGGGCTTGAATTTCCTCCAGCTTTCTCATGGTCCCTCAGAGGCCCAGAGAGAAGAGTTTGGAACCTGAGAGGGATCTGGCCATCTAGAGGGCAGCCTTGCCTCTCCCTCTTCGCCCTCCCCTTTCCTCCTCTGTCTGCCTCCTCCCCACCAGGTGAGCTCCTGGAGGCCACTCTGCTTGGTCTTCTGTTTTCAGACGGGGGAGCGCACAGGGGAACGGTCACTTGGGTCAGAGGTTCCCTGCGACTGGAGGGGATAAGGGAGAATTGACCCATTTGGACACCAAACCAGGGGCCCCAACAGGGATCTGTAACCTTCAGACTTTGGCAAGCAGTGTGGCCTGGGGTTCAGATAGGAGTGGCAGCTGAACCACTCTGTGCTCCCACACCTCTCTGAGCCTGCACCCTCCCAGGGCCTGTGTGTCTCTGTGCCCAGGTGAGAAGGCTCTGGGGTTGCGGAGGGGTGGGGGGGTTGGTGGGGGTGGCTGGGGTGCAGACTGTGGAAGCCACTCTTGGAACCTGGGGGAGATGGGAGGGTGTCACCTGACACCCTCCTATGGCTTGTATTCCTCAGGCAGTTTGGGGCTGGAAGCATATGCCTGGGGGTGGCAAGCGTGCCCTGTACCCCTGGGCACAGGAGCAGACAAAGAGGGCACACAGGCCCAGCAACCTAGGAGCAGAGGGGTGCCAGCCTGGGGTGAAACCTGCCTGCTTCCTGCCGCTCCTTCCAGTGAATTCTTCCCCTTCCCAGCCGCTCACTACTGGGTCAAGGAGGATTGGGGGATTCTTCTCTACTCCCTTGTGAACTGAGGACAACCCTACTCATCCTGGCAGCGAGGAGCTGGATTAAGGGAGGCAGGTGGGGTCATTTAGTGGTTGCTGAGAACTGCCGTTTCTTTTAAACCCAGACAACCAGGGCTGGGGCGTGGGGCAGGTATGGGTGAGGCTGGGTCTGACAAAGTCTCTGTTTGCTCAAGGAGGCTTTGTCCCTTCCAGTGCAGGTGAGTGGCCAGGGCCTCCCTGGTTGAGTGTGGGGAGCAGAACAGGTCAGAAGCGTCTTGACTGAGAACCCCTCTCTCTAGGTTGGATGGCACAACCCCTTCTTTGGTCCATATGACCCCTGCTTTGCCTCTGGGGCGTGTGGCAGTGTAGGCAGGGGGAAGGAGTCAGCTCCCAGCTGAACCCACAGCTGCCTAGCTAAACACTGGACTCCTGGTTTACACTCTTCCCCCGAAACCCATAGGGGATTCCATGCCCCTTTGCAAAATGTAGGGCTCGAATCTGAGCAAAAGTTTGGGGAGGAGGCTGCTGGTTACCCAGTTTGTCTGCAGTCCCTTCCTGGGGTACAGTGTGAAGCCCTAGAAGGCATTTGGTGTGGACAGATCACACCCAAGATTGGTGGCCTCCTGGCTTCTCCAAGGCGCAGCTCAGAGCGCCTGTGATGTGCTTGGTATCACACCGGGCCCTAGAGATAAGTGTGGCCAAAGTGCCAGGTTGGGAGGTGCTGAGCGTGGAATTGTGAATGAGCAGGGCTGGGGTGTGCCAGGAGGGCTCTTGGGCAGGGAGGAGAGTGGAGCCAAGCCCCAGGTACAGGGCCGCCTGCTCTTCACCAGCATTGCAGGGTAAAATCAAGGGGGGTGAGGCTCTACCTGGTGGCGCAGCAGGTTAAAGCACCCTTGGGGTGCTCAGGACCTGGGGAGCTGAGAAGCTCTCCGAAGCCATTGCAGCACGAGTTCGATCTTCTACCAGGGAGCTGACTCACGTGGTGCAGCAGACCTCTCCTGGCCCGCCCGCTGCTCCCCTCAGCAGTGTACTTCATCGATCTGCCTATTCTGCTCCTTGCTCTGTCTCTGGTGAATCTTCTCACCCACCACTCCTCTGGCCTGTACCCCAGATCTGTATGCATAAATAAATAAATCTTAAAAAAAAAATCAAGTGGGGTGAGGGAGAAACCCCAGGCATGAGAAAGTCTGTCCCTAGGCCACCTCTTTGGGGTTGATGGCAGGTAGGGGAATCCCGCCTTTCTCTCCAGGGCACGCCTGCTGTACCTTCTCATCCTGCTTACCCACTTTTCCTGCTTTTGTGGTCACTTCTCAACAACCGGCTGCAGGGGGTGCAGTTATCCGGAAGCAAGACCCGGAGGCCACCTGCTGGGGTGGGACTCAGGGCTGGGCTCCCCCAGAGCGGTCTGCACAGGACCTGCAGGAAAGTGTGGGGATGTCTGTGCTGGGAAGGGCGTCCTCTGAGGAGTGAGAGGGGCTGCCTGGGAAAGCTGCCTGGGAAGGGAAGCGGGGGCTTCCTTCCAGGTCTGGGGGTCACTGGCAGAATCGGCCTGGCTGCCAGGTGGTGCGGTTTCATGCCCGTGTGGCTGGGGCCTGGGGAGGCCGCTGTGCTGTTAACGGGGGTCAGCCCCAGGTGGGCGCCAGGTGGGCCCCGGGCAGGGTTGTTTCTCCCCGTGAGTGTTGCCACAGGGAGCTGCCCAAGGGAGAGGGTTTCAGGCACAGGTTCTTTCGGGGACTTTGTAAGTGGTTTCAGTGACAGGTTCAAACCCAACCAGCAAGCCACAGCCTCTCCCTTGCCTCTTGTCCTCATCCTGGGGGTAGGAGTCAGCGTGGCCCGTGGCCAGGCCTACAGAATAGGAAGTGTTACTCTTAACAAAGGGGAATTGAGCTGCTCTCGTTAGGAAGGGGAGAGAGAAAAGCAAACAAACCAGGCTGGAAAAGGGGGTCCAGGGACACCTTAATAACAGGACCTGGGGAGCTGAGATCTGCATTGGCTTGATTTCTTTTTTTTTCCTCCTCCCCACAAAAACAAATGCAGAGATATTTTTAAACAGAATAACAACATCAGTTAGGTTCTGGAGTGTGCTGAGCCTTCAAACTCATGTTTACCTTATTAATTATGTCAGCCTTAGGCTAATATTAACAGGCATTTCCTGATTGGGCAGCAGTGATGGCACCGTCGAGGCTGACACCGTCAAGGCTGCACCCACCGAGGCTGCGAGTGAACAGGATTCGGAGAATTCAGAACAAATCCTGGAGCCCTTCCCAGGATTTAACACTGATTGATTGTCCCCACCCTTTCAGGAGCCGTGTGACATGTCCCCGCCGAGGCGCCCCGTGGCAGCCCTGTGTAGCATGGGCTGAGAAGCCGCACCTGCACGCACGCCCGCCGGCGGAAATGGGCTGCTGGCTGTGCCCCAGGCAGACCGCGGCAGCGAGGAGGAGCGGCCTGGGTGTCGGCACCAGGGCTGGGACGAAGCGGTTCTGGAGTTCCTGAACGGGCCGAGCCCTCCCCTCCTGGCCCGCGATGGTCCAGAGGCCGTGGGGAAGCCACCTGCTGCGGCATCGGAAAGCCCAGCTCCTGCTGGTCAACCTGCTGACCTTCGGCCTGGAGGTGTGTCTGGCCGCCGGCATCACCTACGTGCCGCCCCTGCTGCTGGAAGTGGGGGTGGAGGAGAAGTTCATGACCATGGTGCTGGGTGAGTCACCACTTCCTTCTTCCCCCTGCACCAGATACGTGCCGCCCGGGAAGTGGAGTGACTTGCCAGGCCCCAAGAGCAGAGGGAGGGAGAGGTGCTGCCTGCTGCTCCTGGGCCTGGCAGGTCACACTGCTGGGGTGAGGGCAACCCTGGCCCAGGGGCTCGGGAAGAGCCCAGGACAGCCCCTCAACACCCCGGCACCTCCAGCACCCACACAGTGCCTGGCCCGTAGCAGGCACTGAAGAAATCGCTCTTCACCTTTGTCCAGCCCTTTGTGACTTCTGTCTGTCATGTCAGGTCATCTTGCAATAGCCTTCTGAGTGTCTCCCTATGCGGAGAAGAAAACAGAGGCTTGTAAGAAGCTAGGGGACCTAGCCAGAGCTATGCAGCTGCTGAGAGGTAGACCCGGGACTCCCAGCCGAGCTCTCCCACCCCTGCTGGGGCTGGGCTCCTGGCTGCAGGTGTGGCCTGCAGAAGCCACAGACAGCAAGTGGCCACCACTGTGTGCCTCCTGGGAGAAGGGGCCCTGTCGGGGCCAGAGTGCTCGTGAAACCCTCCTGTGTGCAAGTGTCACTCACCCATTGCTCCATGCCTCAGTTTCCCCATCTTAAATTGGGTATCGGTGGGCCTGCTCTGGGGAGTGCGGGCAAGCCCTATGGAGCGCTCAGCTGGTGTCTGGTGCAGAGCTGGCCTGGGCGTGATGTCACAGTCATCACCATCCTTCTCGGAGAAGGCGCTTGCCCGTGGCCCTGTGGGCCCCAGCCTCTGGCTCACCCTGCTCGCCTTTCTTGCAGGCATTGGTCCAGTGCTGGGCCTGGTTTCGGTTCCACTCCTGGGCTCAGCCAGTGACCACTGGCGTGGGCGCTATGGTCGCCGGAGGCCTTTCATCTGGGCCCTGTCCCTGGGTGTCCTGCTGAGCCTCTTCCTCATCCCAAGAGCTGGCTGGCTGGCAGGGCTGCTGTGCTCGGACACCAGGCCCCTGGAGCTGGCGCTGCTGATCCTGGGCGTGGGGCTGCTGGACTTCTGCGGCCAGGTGTGCTTCACGCCGCTGGAAGCTCTGCTCTCCGACCTGTTCCGGGACCCAGACCACTGTCGCCAGGCCTTCTCTGTCTATGCCTTCATGATCAGCCTCGGGGGCTGCCTGGGCTACCTCCTGCCCGCCATTGACTGGGATGCCAGTGCCCTGGCCCCCTACCTGGGCACCCAGGAGGAGTGCCTCTTCGGCCTGCTCACACTCATCTTCCTCGCTTGCATGGCGGCCACGCTGTTTGTTAGCGAGGAGGCAGCGCTGGGCCCGGCCGAGACGGCGGAAGGGCTGCCGGGGCCCTCTTCGCTTTCCCACTGCTGCCCGTGCCGCGCCCGCCTGGCTCTCCGGAACCTGGGCGCCCTGTTACCCCGGCTGCACCAGCTCTGCTGCCGCGTGCCTCGGACCCTGCGCAGACTCTTTGTGGCCGAGCTGTGCAGCTGGACGGCGTTCATGACCTTCACGCTGTTCTACACGGACTTCGTGGGCGAGGGGCTGTACCAGGGTGTGCCCAGGGCAGAGCCCGGCACCGAGGCCCGAAGACACTATGACGAAGGTAAGGCCTTGGCGACCTGTGCCTGGGCTGTCTCTGGGCCCGATTCCTCCAGCAGGAAGCGGGGCCCACTTTGCCCCCAGCACATGTGGCTCCTCGAGCGTGCAGAGTGGTCTGGTCTGTGGTCTGCATTGGGAGGGTTGGATCAGAGTCACCTGCAGAAGAGACCGACCGCTTGTTTAAGGGGGCGGATAGAGTGGAGGTTCAGCCTGGAGGTTCAGCCCAGCCTCAGTCTCCCTGCTCTGCTGACTTTGCAAGCCTCCTGGAAGCGGTGGCACAGCAGTTTGTGCCCCTTCCCATCCTCCTGACCCCAGAGCTGAGGCTCCCAGGTAGCCTGTAGAACATCCTCCCCTGCCCTCAACCCACAGCTTTGGTCACAGGCCCAGAGTCACGGGGAGAACCTCAGCTCCCGTGACCCTGGCCGGCTGGGTGGCCAGTATCCCCGGAGTCGCCTGGCCTGCAGTGTGTCCTGATCCTGCTGCCAGATGGCGCTGCTCTCCGCCTGACCCTGCCTTCCCTTGCAGGTGTCCGGATGGGCAGCCTGGGGCTGTTTCTGCAGTGCACCATCTCCCTGCTCTTCTCTCTGGTCATGGACCGGCTGGTGCAGCGATTCGGCACCCGGGCCGTGTACCTGGCCAGCGTGGTGGCTTTCCCTGTGGCGGCCGGCGCGACGTGCCTGTCCCGCAGCGTGGCTGTGGTGACCGCCTCTGCCGCCCTCACTGGCTTCACCTTCTCGGCCCTGCAGATCCTGCCCTACACGCTGGCATCCCTCTACCACCGCGAGAAGCAGGTACCTGTGTGGCCACTGGGTGGAGCAGGGGTGGGCTGGCTCTCCCCAGGCAGGCGGGAGTTGGAGAAGGCCCTCTTTCTTTGAGGGAGAGGAAGCCGGTGCTGTCGCCCCAGGGCTGCTGAAGAAGGGCGTAGATTAGCTTCTGGGAATGACTTCCTGGTGTCCGCTCTGTCTGGCACTCCAGCGATTGTCGGAAGTGGTTGCTCCTCTCTGGGAAGCCTGAAGCACGGCGGCCCCCTAGACCCGCAGTCTGGACGGGCCCTGCGCAGGGCCAGGGGCCGGACAGACCCCATGGCCTGGGGCTCCCTCCTCAGCAGAGGGTGAGGCAGGGGTCTGGCCTTGGTGCAGCTGGCAGAGAGAGGCTTGGGGACACCAGCCCCTGCTTTGGCTTCAGAGATGGGGAGGCTCCTTTGGCACCCCCTTTCTGGTGGATCTTTTGTGTCTAATTCTCTCTTCTCGGCCTCACTTCTCACACCTCTCCCTGTCCCTGCTTGCATAGCAGTTCCCTAAGCCTGCTGTGCCTGTCCCCTCTGGCCCCCACTCACCTGGACAGTGTGAAGGGTGGGGGGCTCTTCCTGTCTCCGCCCACACTCACCAGCCTCCAGAGGTTTCTGCAGGAAGCCTTTCACCCAGGCTGGGTGGGTGGTTGCCTTGACTAGAGCTCAGCTTTGGCCAGAGGGCAAAGACTTGCCGGAGGAGATAGAGGGCCACCTTTAGGCCTTCCAGACTGTGGGGAGGAGTGTCTGCCTCCCGGAGGGCATGAGTGGGTCAGTGGAGTAAAACTGGGCTGGGACACTGGCTAACTGCAGAGGAGGCTGCGGGAATGGGCGGGGTGTGGAGGGAGAGGCCGGGGTTTGGGTCCCTGAGACTGTCCATGCACTGATGGCCGCTCCAGTCTCCGTTCTGCTGCCCAGCACCAGGTTTGGCCACATGCAGTCGTGCCCAAGGAGCTTGCCAGGTCATTCTCCTTCCCCACCGCCACGGGAAGCAGAGGTGTCTGTTGGCATCCTGTGCCCACAGTGAGCCAGGTGCCTCCGTGGCGTTGGAGTCACGCGCTGCATGGTAGCGGGCCGAGGGACAGCGCAGAGGCTTTGTCCTTAAGGAAGGGGCTCTGTCACCAGCGGGCGGGGCCAGGTCCCTCGATCTCAGGCACAGGGGGAGGAGGAAGCCAAGACTTGGACATCAGCACAGCTGGCAGGGGGAGCTGACAGGGGGGTTCTGCTGCTCCCCGGTTGTGTTCCGGACCCTCTGCCTCAAAGCATTGACTCCTCAGAGGGAGCAGGGCTGGACTCTGCAGGAGTAGGGTTTTCTAGCATCAAGTGCTAGCAAGTAGGAGCAGGGGAAGAGCACCCCGGGGAGGGGTGGTTTGGGCCTCCAGGACCCCCTTTGATTTTGTTCCTTGCTTATGCCGGGGTTCTGCTGTCTCCCAGCCTAAGGTACCGAGTTTGTCCGCCTCGCTGTTCTAGGACAGCCTAGAGGAGACCCAGACTTCTGGCTTCAGTTCTGCTCTTTCATATGCCCCCTCTGACCTTCCTGTTCCTGAGAAGGGTCCCCACTACCCCAGGCCAGCCAGGTCTGCTGTTTCCAACCTGCCACCTGACTCTTTTAGGCCTGTTACCTAGCTTCTTCCAGCCCCTGGGATGCAGGCCAGGGCCGGTGTCGGCTGGGGGCCGATGCTCAGGTACACTCCTGTCCTCACCCCACTTCCCTCCTCCTTCCCCCCAGGTGTTCCTGCCCAAATACCGAGGAGACAGTGGCGGTGGCTCCAGTGAGGACAGCCTGGTGACCAGCTTCTCCCCCAGCCCCAAGGCGGGGTCCCCCTTTCCCAATGGACACATGAGTGCTGGGGGCAGCCTGCTCCCCGCTCCCCCTGCACTCTGCGGGGCCTCTGCCTGTGACGTCTCCATGCGTGTGGTGGTGGGCGAGCCGCCCGAGGCCAGGGTTGTTCCAGGCCGGGGCATCTGCCTGGACCTTGCCATCCTGGACAGTGCCTTCCTGCTGTCCCAGGTGGCTCCGTCACTGTTCATGGGCTCCATTGTCCAGCTCAGCCAGTCGGTCACTGCTTACATGGTGTCGGCTGCAGGCCTGGGTCTGGTTGCTATTTACTTTGCTACACAGGTAGTATTTGACAAAAGTGATTTGACCAAATACTCCGTGTAGAGCACTTCCTGCCAGCGGAGGGACGGCCTGCCTCATGGGGTCCCACTCCTGCTCCCCAGGTCCCTGGCCTTCCAGTTTCTCTTGCTGCCAAAGTGGTGTGGCTCTCTGCTGCCACCCTGTGGCGGTGCGGTGGACAGCTGCGCAGAGGAGGAACTGGGCTTGCCCTCTGCCCTGGCCCCAGTCTCAAAGGCTGACTGACCAGTGGCTCACCGGGTGAGCTTAACCGAGACCTTCCCTACAGCGGCGTCCGAAGGCCTGGCAGCGGCTAGCTCCACACCCTGGAGCGCAGAACTCAGTCAGGGCTTTGCCCCGTGCTCAGGGTGACAGTGAGTGTCCTGGTCAGGACAGACCCAGAGGAGGGAATTAGGCAGCTGAGTAAACTCGGCCACCTGTCTCCCACCTCTAAATGTTCCCCCAGTGTTGCTCTTGCGTGGGAGTTTCCAATGTGAAATTTCCCCACAGGATTTGAAAGTGTGAGAGTTGTTTGGGGGTGTTGCCCTAAGGGAAGAGGGGCAGCTGCCTTGGCCCCCAGCACCGCCTTTCTGCTGATCCCCCCTCCTTTTTGTTCAATCAGGACTTGGCTTGTTGACCACTGTGTTGCCATCAGAGGGACACAAGCCTTTAAATATTTAACTTATTTATTTAACTAAGTAGAGGGAAATCAACCCAGCTCTGCCCCCCTGGTGCTGAGGAATAGAGTGGGGTTCCCACAGCCGGACCCTGGGATGGGCAGTTACTGTTCTGGGCACTGCCAGAGTCGCCTGGGCTGATTGGTCTGTCTGCCTAGCCAGGAGGGGCTCCCCTGATGGACTCCCCACACCCTGTGGCCGGCCAGGGACAGATGGAAGGCGGGGCTCCTGGTCTCAGCGGCTCCCCTGGCTCCCCTCCTCTCAGCCCGACGGGACTCCCCTCTGCTCCCTCCACCCCTACTTTCCCAGCTGGCTCACAGCCCTGTCATGGGGCTGTCGCAGGACAGAAGCACAGAGTGTGGCTCTCCAGGCCCGAGTCTCAGGCCCTTGGGCATCTCTGTGCTCTGGGAATCTCACAAAAAAACTCAGGAGCACCCCTTGCCTGGGCTAAGAAGCTCTTATCTCTGGGGGGTTTAAGTGCCGTTTGCAATAATGTTATGTCTTATTTATTTAGCGGAGTAAATATTTTATACTGTATGTGAGCAATCAGAGTATAATGTTTATGGTGATGAAATTAAAAGCTTCTTATATGTTTCATTGGCTTGTGTTGGCTTCTCTGGGACAAAGGACCAGCTGAGCGTCGCTTTCCCGCGCCACCCACAGAGGGCGCCACAGACCACGCGCTTCCTGTTTGGTGACAGGGTGCGCCTGTGCCTGCCTCAATTAAGTTGAGAAGAGTCCAGCATGCTGCGCTTCACCAAGGGCCACAGCGCTGACCGGATGGAGCAAGCACCTGTCACCGGCCACAAGCCTGGCCCCCCAGGCCCGTGCCCAATTCAGACCCTTCCTGCCACACCATCTCCCTGACCCCTCCAGCCCTGACCGGCCTTTCTTTCCCTTAAGTCCCAGAGCAGTCAGAACTGTTAATACCCTGTGTCAAGACAGTCTTTATTTTTAGTGTTCTAGCTTTTGCTTAACTTTTTTGGTGATTTGTTAGCTTTATTTCTGAATTTATGTTTAATGGTGGTAATAGTTGAAATCCCCCAGCAGGGATTGTTCCCATCATGTATCCACCATCAAGCCTCCCTGTCCACCACCAGTGGTCAGTTTTTTTTTCCCAAAGATTTATTTACTTATGCATACAAGAACTGGGGTGCAGGCCAGAGGTACAGGGGGCTGACAGGATTCATCAGAGACAGTGGGGAGCAGAACAGGTAGATCTACTGAAATACACTGCTGAGGGGGGCAGCAGGGAGACAGGAGAGATCTGCTGTGCTATGTGGGTCAGCTCCCTGCCAGGGATTGAATTTGAGCTGCAGTGACTGCAGAATAGCTTCACAGTGCTGCGTTTTAATCCATTGTGCCACCAGGGCCCTGGTCAACTTTTTATTATGAAAAATTTCATCTGGCCCTCCCTGATGGTGCATCGGGTTAAAACAGCACTATGAAGCTATCTGCAGCCATTGCAGCATGTCATGAGTTTGGCTCCCCGCCAGGGAGCTGACCCACATGGCACGGCAGACCTTTCCTGACATGCCCACTGCTCCCCTCAGCAGTGTGTTTCAGTATATCGGCCTGTTCTACTCTCCACTGTTTCTTATCAATCTCCCACCCCCAACACCTCTGACCTGTACCTCAGTTCTTGTGTGCATAAATAAATAAATCTTTTTTAAAAATGTTAAAAGAAAAATTTTAATCACAACACAAATAATCCTGGTGTCATGATCCCAATGATAACAGTCATGGACACTGAGCCACTTTTACTTCATCTGCTTTCCCTTAACCTTCATTTTTCTCCTGAGGCATTTTAAAAGCATGTGGCAGACAATTCTGTTTCACTTTCAATACTTCAGAGTGTGTCACTAAGGCACAGGACTTCGTAACAAGATCAAACCACGATTAGATCCAAGAAGGGTTCCTTATTGCTGATTCCCTATTCCACATACAGCTTTGCCTCGTCTCAAAAGTACTCTTTTACATTTGGATCCTGTCAAATCAAGATCCAGCTAAGAAATATTGCATATGGCCTTTCCCTGATGGTGCAATGGATTAAAGGTCTTTTTTTTTTTTAAGATTTATTTATTTATGCATATAAGATCTGGGGTGCAAGCCAGAGGTGTGGGGGGTGAGAAGACTCACCAGAGACAGTGGGGAGCAGAACAGGCAAATCTACTGACATACACTGCTGAGGGGAGCAGCAGATGAGATAGGAAAGGTCTGCTGTGCCGTGTGGGTCAGCTCCCTGCCTGGTGATCAAACCCACTGCTGCAGTGGTTGTGACTTAACCCGTTACACCACCAGGGAAGCCCCAACTTTAGGTCTTTGGGGGAACAAAACTGGAAGACGCCATTTTCAGGAACATGCATGGAGCTCAGTGAAATAAGTCAGGTGGGAAAAAACCATCTGATGGTTTCAGTTACAGATGGACTATAGGGAAAACGAACCAAGTCTTGAAGCTGATCATAGAGCCGAGAGGGGAGGGGCAGGGGGGTCATAGAGGGGGGTCAAAGTGGGAGGGAAGATCCCAAGAGATGGGAGTGTTGGATCACGAGGGCTGTGGTGGTAGAACTACAGGGACTTGGAGGGCAGAAGTCAAACATTGTATAAAAATGAACAATGATATAAGAAAATAAACGAGAAAAATTTTTTTTAAAAAGCTGGAGGAAATATTGTTATACTCATACATCATGAGTTTACATTGACACATAGCCATCCTGGCCTTGACTGGGAAGTGTGTGCACGCTACCTCCCTGATTGTCCTCAGTGAACCCATGCAGGTCAGGCCCAGAGACTGCACACGTGAGTGTCCTATGAGGGAAGCGAATTAAAAACCACCTGTCGGCCGCCACTGCCTACCTGTCTGAGCCCCTAGAACAGGTGTGTTCTGGAACATCAGCTCATCCTGTTAGGGGGTTAGAACCTCGAGTCCGCAGGCTGGAGGGCTGGAAGCGCTGGCTCAGAGGCTCTTTCTAGTACAAGTTTGCAACATTTTTTTATTTTTATTTATTTTTTTAAAGATATTTATTTATGCATTCAGAACTGGGGTACAGGACAGAGATGCAGGGGCTGAGAGAGAAGTCACCAGAGACAGAGTGGGGAGCAGAACAGGCAGATCGACGAAGTACACTGCTGAGGAGAGCAGTGGGCGGGTCAGGAGAGGTCTGCCGCGCCATGTGGATCTCCTCCAGGGCAGGCGGGAATCGAACTCATGCTGAAGTAGCTTAAGCTTCTTAGTGCAGTGCTTTAACCCGCTGCGCTACCAGGGAGGGCCCTGCAACATTTTTTTTTTAAAGATGTATTTATGTATGCATACAAGACCTGGGCACAGGCCAGAGGTCTGGGGTTCAGAGGACTCCCCAGAGACAGAGTGGGGCGCAGAAAGCCGGATCTAATGAAGCACATTGCTAAGAGGAGCAGGAAAGGTCTGCTGCGCCATGTGGGTCAGCTCCCCTGCGGGGGATCGAACTCATGCTGCAGTGGCTGCGGACAGCCTCACAGTGCTGTTGCGCCACCAGGGAGGGGCCCAAGTTTGCAATATTTGGGATCACCTAACCCATCTCACAGGTATGGGACCTTGTGCTGGTTGTTCCTTGGGTTTTAACTACATTCCTCTTGGAAATAGTTTGCTAAAAAGGGCAGAGGGTAGAGAAAAGCAGGAAGAAAAGAGACCCTGGAGAGCAGGAAGGAGGCTGCAAACTTGTCTTACCACCTGATATCCTGCTGTGACCCACCAGCCAGTCAGCCACCACAGGCAAAGATATCACAGCTGTCATGGGGTCCCACACGCGTGCATCGGACCGCTTCACTCGGGTGAAATGAGTCAAACACAGAGAGGAGTCAGGCCAGGTGGAGGTGGAAAATGCAGTGTGAACCAGATACTCACTGAACTCAGAGACGGGAAAGTGCTTTAGTGCAGTGGAGAGAGGCGGGGTCAGGCAGCTCCACAGCCCTCTCCCAACCCCACCCGTCCCCCACCCCACCATCCTGCTGGATCCTGCCCCTGCCTGCAGCCTTCAGGCCCCTGGGTCCTCAGGTGCAAGGGGGCTAGGGGGAGCAAGGAGTTGGGGTCCCACCTTTGTGCATCCCAGCTCTTCCTTTCAGGCCTGAGGTGCTCCTCCCTGCAGGCTCAGTTACAGAGAGATGTGGGAGCAGGAAGAGCAGGGGTGGAGAGCCTGGTGGGGCAGCTTGGATCTCAAATGACGTCTTGTGTGCTGGGGGAAAAGCCCTTGGTTTCCAGGGTCAGGTTTAATGACAGCAGCTGGCAATTTTGTCACCATTGGCTGGAGGTGTGTTCAGAGCTGGAACTTTCTGACACCCAGCACTGTCACTAGCTCTCCCCCGGTGCTGGGTCCCTGGACACCCCTGCCCTGTCTGCTCTTGACTAGCATTTGATCTCTGATGAGTCGTCTGCTGTGTGTGCGTGATGGGGTTACATCATCGCTGCAGATCCAGGCCATGATTTCAGGATTCTGTGTGCTGCTGCTCAGCAGTTTATTTACATCCCCACTTTTTCTTTATTACATCATTGTTCATCTGGGGGCAATATTGATCTCTCCCCTCAGGTGTAGTCGCCACCACCACGCACTGGGACACATCGCCACAGTCCCTGTGCTCTTCCTTCCTCCGGTTATGATCACTCTCCCGCCACCTCTCCTCCTGTGACCTACAGTCAGCTTGCAGGTTTTCTTTTTCCTGGCCCTGTGTTTTCTATATATTCCAACCCTGAGTGAAACCATCTGATAATTCTTTTTTACCTTCTGACTTATTTGCTTGGCATCATCTTTTCCACTTGCCACAAATGACATGAGTTTATCTTTTTGATTGCTGAGTAGTATTCCACTTTGTATATGCCACATCTTGTTGACCCTCTCATCTCTTTGGGGGCATTTAGGTTATTTCCATATCTTGGCTATTGTATATAGTGCTGTAATAAACACAGGAATACAGGTTTCCTTTTGAGTTTGTGTGTGTGTGTGTCCTCTGGGTTGATTCCTAGGAGTGGAATGGCTGGGTCATATGGTAGATCCATCTTTAGTAGCTTGGGGAACCTCCACACAGCTTTCCTTAATGGTTGGCTGTATCTCACCAGTATTGTTAGAGGGTTTCTTGTTCTCCACACCCTCCTCAGCATCTGTTGTTTCCAGTTTTGTTTTTTTTTTTTAATACAAACCATTCTCAGTGTGATGTGGTGTCTCACTGTGGTTTTGATTTGCATTTCCTAATAATAAGTGCCTTTTTTTTCATATGCCTGTTGTCCATTTACATTTACTTTTGGGAGAAGTGTCTTTTCAGCTCTTCTGCCCAGTTTAGACTGGGTCCTTTCCTTTGTTTTTGTGAGTTGTATGAGCTCTTTGATATCAGCCCCTTATCAGTTGTACAGTATGCAAATATTTTCTCCCATTCAGTGGGATGTCTCTTTGTTTTGGTTACTGTCTCCTGCTCTTTTTAGTCTGATGTAGTCTCAGCTCTTACCTTCTCTTCTGGAGGTGAGTCCTCAGAGATGTTTCTGGGGTATATGTCATGGAGTATTTTGCCTGTGTTTTCTTCTATATATTGTATGGTATCAGCCCTTACATTCAAGTCCTTTATCCAATTTG